GTAAATGCGTGGGTATGGCCGAGAAACTTAACTATGCGTTCCGCGAAAACAACTGATAGAGCCGAGAAACGCGTACATGTGTGCATGCACGTAAATCTGTGCATGTACATATAATATGCCCAGAATTTGATTTGGAATGCTATGAACGAAATGCGCTGGCAATTTTTAATGACTATCGTGGCAGGAGCTCGGCCCCACGGTACGGGTCACTTCGAACCGTCCCGTCCGCAAAGGGATAGACCATAGTTACATTCTATACACACTAACACCTACTTCGCGGCGTGCTGTGGAGTTATATGTATAGAAAAAAAAATAGCTATACAAACTTTGCCTATGTTCGGCTGTCCAAAGGTTGACATGTTCAAGAAAATCTTTTAATTTTGCGCCGCCTCCGAAAAGGTTGAAATGTATTTAATATACTACCTAACGAGTAAATAGGTTTCATTCATATCTGTTACGTAATTGTATGATTCAATGAAATAGAAATTACTTCATTAGAAAATAGAAATTATTTTATACTTTTTAGTGCATTTCGAAGTCGGTGTATTTTTTTTCTGAAAATTATTTTATGTATACACGATTCACCAAACTCACGCAGCTTATCTGCAGCTCACGTGTCCATGTCTTCTTATAAAGTATTGACACAATATTACACTATATACTATATGTAGAATATGAAGTAATAACTATAATACAATTACAATGTTCTGGAATTAATTAATATAAGTCAATTTTCCCAACTGCTTCAAAATATTGGTGAAAGTATATATTTAAGTCCTTCCCTACAGTTGGATGATCTAAATATGTTTTAGAATTCGATATTTTGAGTAACTACTTCTTTTAACAAAAATATCGGACTTTCTTAATTTACCAGCGAACAAATAGATTAAGAGGTAACAGCGGACAAGTGTCCTTACCAAGGCAGCATATAACCATGACTTGTGTGATTACATTGTCCAGCCGTCAATTCAATTTTCGATATCCATTTAGTGATTTTTATAGCCTTTCTTGAGCTGATTACGAATCTGCACTTTGTTTATATCCAGCATGTACAGCTTTCAAAAAATTTGATTTTGAAAACACAGAAAAAAACATTTTTCAAGTTAAAACCAATTTTCTGAGATAACTATTGTGTAAAGATATAAAGTTATTAAGATTTTGTTTAAATCGAAAGATTCTATACACTTTTCTGAATATAACAGTACCTGTTTTTTACACATTCTGAATATTTAAATTTGTATAAACAATCATTGAATGCGGAGAGACAACTTTGCACCAATTTTTAAGTATATTTTTCAATTTATCTTAAAATGTTAAAGTACAAATGCTTTAAGAAGCACCCAAAGAAAGTTGCAACATCGTTTTTTTTTACGATGCCGAAAAGCAAAATAGCCATGCGAGAAATGAAATGAAGACGGCGATGCTCCGTGTCGGAGCGAGCAGTTGATGTCTATAATGACGCAATTCTTAACGCAAGCTTTAGTAAACTGAATCAGTTTATTACAATTATTGTTATTACCGTCATTGTTGTCGTTGTTAGTATCATTCGTATTGATGCTGCTCATTGCTATGCTATTAGTTTATTTATTATTAATAATTAATAGAGCCCAATAGGATCGTAAACTAAGACTATAAAACAACATTATAAATAGGTGTAATTAACTAAACTCTGTAAGTAAATTGTGATGTTTATATAAAAACTTTCTACTTTATTATGAAATACATTATTTGTAAAAACGACTATTTCAATAGTACATACAGTTATGTAATGAAGAGACTAATAGTGTATCAATAATTAATATAACATCAATACTAATAATACTAGCAACAAAAACAATAAATATTTAATAACTTGTATCGCGTTAACATAGATGGGACACCGAAGGACCGTTTTGAAGGAGCATCACTGTCTTTGCTTCGAACTCAGCGTTGCTATTTTACGTTTTAAAAAATCGTAATCATAAAAAAAATGACATTGCACTTTTCTTAAAGTGTTTTTTAAAGGTGAATATCTGCTCTATCGCGTGATATAGTTTAAATTTCCACTAGGCTTTTACATTTCAAAATAAGTTGAAAAATATACAGAGAGATTGATGCAAATTAGTTTATCTCCATGTTCAAAGATTGTTTAAACAAATTTAAATATTCAGAATGCATAAAAAACAGATACCGTTGTATTAAGGAATGTCTATAAAATCTTTTGACACAAACAGCTACATACGAGGTGTGACACAAAAGTAACGAGACTAGTCCAATAAATCATTGCACCTGCAGAATCAGTTCTCCGTGACATTATCACTTTCAAAGTAGTCCCCTTCAGCATTCACACACTTTTGCATTTGGTGCTGCCATTGCTGGTAACAATTCTGGAACGAGGTTTTTGGAAGTCCCTTTAGGAGATTCTCCGTTTCTGTCTGAACCTCTTTAACTGGGAAACATATCGAACCGCGACACACCGATTTTAATGAAACTTATGTGAAAGATAGTTCTCAAAAAAATATTTGACACGTATTTTTTTTTTATCGGCAATCGTTGTCCATAGTTTACGTACACGAAGTTGCAAAAAAATAGATCAACATTTAGTGCAAAAATTTAAACAAAAATGATGAATTTTTTAAATATTATTTAAACAAATAAAGTTTCTTGAAATATTTTTACGCACAAAAATTTCCTATCTAAAGACGAACAATTTACAAAAAAAAGAATTCAATTATCTTCTTTCGTTCCGGAGATATTCCCAAAAACATGGTTTCAACCCCCAACTTTGAGGGCTAATTTCACCCCTTCAATGTGAACGATTGCCAATAAAAAAAATACGTGTCAAATATTTTTTTGAGAACTATCTTTCACATAAGTTTCATTAAAATCGGTGTGTCGCGGTTCGATATGTTTCCTTGTGAGGTGAAATGGGTTCCCATTAAGCAAAAATTTACTTTAG